ATAATCTCAGCAAATTTAAAAAAAACTGTATAAAGGCTTTCAACAAGAAGTTTGCTTTTTTTCCTTCATCTATTATAATTTCCATTTTCTTTTACTTTATTTAACTTTCTCTTTTTCATAATTTTAACACAAAGGATTATCTATTGTTTTGAAAAACAAACCTTTTCACACTTTATTATCTATTTTGCATATTTACATCTCTACGGTATCAAAGGCGTGTAACGCGGAATAACTCTAAAGTGTATGTTTAGCTCTATATGGATGACATTTTACGTCTTAAAAGACGTATTTATTGTTCCTGGACCTTTTTAACTCGGAGATTGCGTAGTAATCGTAGAGTTATTGGGAGGGCACAGGCTGTCACTCGCTCGATCACTTTCCTGTAAACTTGAGTCTGCGATGTCTTTGTCAGCAGTTATTCACTTAATCATATTAATGTATTCTACTTAATTATTATTTATCATATCTAATTTTGCTTTACTGGTTTCCCTGTGCTATATCTGATTGAAATGATTTATTTTTTGGCAAATAAAGAAATCATAGAAATGGGTCATCTGGGATCTGAACCCGTGCCCGCTGGATTGGAAATCAAAGGCACTACCGATTAGGTCATGCGTACTAATGTTACACACTACCGGCTAGACTTGTCTTTTAACTGATGGGCGCTCGTCTGTGCTTGTCTAGAAATGGAAGTTAAAACTATAAGATTTTAACGAAAAAATCTGCATTCAAATATCGTTTACTTAAAATTCTATTTGTAAAGTAAATCTAATGTGATTCGTTGTATTGTTCAGTCACAAAGGAAGCATGAGGAAGACTCGCCGATCCGACATTAAATTCGTCTCGAAAATCATTTTACGTGTGTTTTATTTATCCACGTTYGTCTACAATTCAAAAAATATATTCGCTCGCTACCGTACTATTACATTTTAATATTTGATGTATAGTTCATTGTGTGGTTAGACATCGATAATACTATTTTGAGCCGCTACGGAAACTGTCAAACAATAAAAGCAACGGTGCCGTATATTTGGTCAGGGATTTAATTGAACCAACTTTCAGTTGTTTAATTCACTGTTACGGAATAAGCATTCTTAAAAAAAATGCTTGAAAAAAATAATAAATAATAATAAAAAATAATTATAAAGAACAAAAAAAAAAGAAAAAAATACATGATATCCCTTGGGATTTAAACCGTGACCTCTTGATCAGTTCGCCTATGTTTTAACCACTGGGCCACGATGGCAAACGTCATACAACTACGGTCAAGACTGGAATTTGTTTCGCCGTCACTCGTCGTTCTTATCAACACAGCCGAAGTTAGATAGGATTTTAACGAAACAATTTCATAAATCGTTTACTGGTCTTTACTGAAAATTCTAATTGTTAAAGTAATTATAATTTGATTCATCGTACATGTATTGTTCTGTATCAATCTCCGAGTTATGCTGCCATTGGCTGCTTGATTAACTCTATAAACCAGTGAATTTAAGTGACAAAAATAAGAGTTTGAAATCGACCTGAATTTTTTTTTAACTTCGATCCAGCAATAAGATTAATTGACATCAAATGATTGTTAATTTGGATAAAAGGTTGGAGCAATAAATTCCTTTATCGCTTGTGTAGAAGGACTATATCTCTCTATTTTAGTACTTCATTTTATTGTGCTATGAATACTTTAAGCTCATTTGCCAAATAAGGTT